CCTCCCAGGGCTTGGCTCAGCAGATTCTACCTTTCTCTTCTCTCTCAGGTCCCCCCACTATCCATCACCCAACGTAGTACAGAAATACATCCCTTCTGCATGCCTCCACTTACCCAAGATTTCCACCAGGCCATCTTGCTCACTTTGTGGCTACCTTTCTCAGGAAGATGAAGAGACACTGGTTGCGTTCTGCTCTGCCTCTGAATGAGTCTGTCTGCACTTGAAGATCAGGCATCTGGGTGGGTGTGGTGGTGCAAGCAGGCCTCGCCCAGCCTCACCCCTGCCCTCCTCCCTTTCCTCTGGGTTCTTCTTGGCTCTGGGCTCCTCCTGTGGCTCCCAGGCCCCACCCAGGCACTGCCCAGGCCTGCCCTGGAGAATCACACCACTCACTGCAAAATGTTTGGGCGGTGGCTGTCCCACAGATTGGAAATTCTGAGGCGCCTTTGAGAGCTGACTTAGTAAACAGGGCTGCAGTTTCACAAGGGTTTTGCTAGATGTGGCTATGAAAGGAAGCACTCATGTGTCCCTTCCTGTATTCCAGTCTCTACCCGATGAACAGTCCAGTGAAGGACACGAGGAGACAGAAGCCTCCATTCATGGACACACTATCTGAATCCCTCTGCAATGATCTGTGGACTGTGTCACAGCCCCAGGAAATAGGTATGAGGTCTGTGAGCTTGAGTAGGAAACTAGCTCCAGCACATGGATGATTGGTCCAAATGACACACAGCATGTGCCACAGACTCAGTCCCTTAAGACCTCTTGGACTTATAGGCTTGCGCTCCACACTGGGCCCCAGACACACAGGCTGCCAACTGAAGGAGGAATCTTCCTATGAAGAGATTCATTTTTGATCCTCTGGGGTTTGCCTGCTTGCTTAGAATTTCCCCCCAGAATGACTCTTCTCATATCACCCCTTAACCCAGCCAACTCTACCCACCCTTCAATGTAAATATCCTGTCTAGAAGACCACCCTTTCTATCCCAAGGAAAGACCCATTAGGTTCCCAGGACTGCCATGGGGGAGGTTTTTGCTTTTTCTCTTCCTTCCTTTCTTCCTCCCTCCCTCTCTCCTTCCCTCCCACTTCCTTCCTTCCTTCCTTCCTTCCTTCCTCCCTCCCTTCCTCCCTCGCTCCCTCTTCCTTCCTCCCTCCCTCTCTCCCTCTCTCCCTCCCTCCCTCTCTCCCTCCCTCCCTCCCTTCCTTCTTTCCTTCCTTCCTTCCTCTCTCTCTCCCTCCCTTCCTCCCTCCCTCCCTCCCTCCCTCCCTCCCTCTTCCTTCCTCTCTCCCTCCCTCCCTCCCTCCCTCTTCCTTCCTTCCTTCCTTCCTTCCTTCCTTCCTTCCTCCCTCTCTCCCTCCCTCCCTCCCTCTTCCTTCCTTCCTTCCTTCCTCGCTCTCTCCTTCCCTCCCTCCATTCCTCCCTCCCCCCTCCTTTGCTCGCTTGCTCCCTTTTTGGTACTAGTACCAGGGCTTGAACTCAGGGCCTAGGCTCTGTCCCTGACCTTTTCCGATCAAGGCCTGTATTGTTTTTTTTTTTTTTTGGGTCCGGTTGTGGGGCCTGAACTCTGGGCCTGGGCGCTGTCCCTCAGCTCTTCAGCTCAAGGCTAGTGCTCTACCACTTGAGCCACAGCGCCACTTCTGGCTTTTTTCTTTTTGCTTATATGGTGCTGAGGAATCAAACCCAGGGCCTCAGGCATGCAAGGCAAGCGCTCTACCATTGAGCCACCTTCCCAGCCCCTCAAGGCCTATGTTCTATCACTTGAGCTACAGCCCCATTTCTGGCTTTTTAGTGGTTAATTGGAGGTAAAAGTCTCCAGAACTTTTCTGTGATGGCTGGCTTCAAACTGTGACCTCTGGGGCTCGGCCTCCTGAGTATCTAGGATTATAAGGATGAGCCACTGGCTCCCCCTGTCTCCGTGCCTGTAAATTCACGGTAACTTCTCAGATAAGAATTATCCTATGATACAAAATGCTCTAATTTTCCAACCAAGGGTCCAGTGCTCTCAGGTTGTTCCTTGTGGTACTGTGGGTGGAGTAGGTGCATGTCAAACTGGGCCAGCAAGCACAGGTGAGGGGGAAAGTCTTGTTCAGCATAAGCAGCCATTGCTTAGAGCTACCCAGAAAGCTGGGGAGCCATTGTGGTAATTCTTAGGAGCTCAGCTACTCCCTGAGCACCAAAAAGCATGGAAGAGGTTTGGGACCAGTGACTCTGAGGCCCTTTCAAGAGATTCTTACCAAAGTTGAGTTGTTATCTGGGTGACTGCGATGGGACCCCTGGAAGTAGCAGTATAATGGGGCCACAGGAGAGGCCTGGATTCTCTGCCTTCTCTTCTCAGGCCTACTTCTGATTAACACCTGCAACCAGGGGTCCCCAAAGCTCTGGGATATCCAGTGCCTTTGGCCATTTGTTCTCATTTCTTTTCTGCCAACTTCATGATCCCCATAGGACTCCTTCCTGACCCAGGCCCTCTTCCCTTCCAGAGCTATGGGTTTGATTCTGGCTGATTTTTGGGAACATCTGGGCACATTTCAAATCTCCCAGCCCAGAGATCAGAGTGGTAAGCACCCCTCTCCCCTTATTTCTATATTCCTCTAGATGCTGTTGGGTTCAACTGTCTTATCCCAGTGTCATCTATTAAGGCCTATATCAGCGTGGGCTTTTCAGATGTGACATCCTTACATTTACCCTGGAACCCCTTACCCACCCACGTATGCCCACATTCTGCCTCATGCCCATTTCCCCTCTCCTGAATAGACTTTCCTTTCTCCTAAATGGACAATGGGGAACTTGGCAGTCCTTACCATGTGGCTTCCATCTTATCTAGGGCAATCCTCTCTCCCTGGCCTATCCAGCTGAATAACCATATGATGTCACTAAACCAAAGCCAGGTGCCTGGCACTTCTCTGCTCCTCCTCTGAGCCCTGGAATCATACCAACCTTAGCAGACTAATCAATAGTATGCTGAGCCTTAATTGAAGAATTCATGGTATCCTGGATAGTCCCTGGCAGGACCACACCGGCCAATGAGAATGGCAGAAGCCTGCTCAGGCCCTGAGGGTGCTCAGGACTCTGCCTGGCTGAGCTCCTGTGCCTGGCTGAGCTGCTGTGGGTCTCCAGATTTGATCACAAGAGGCACCCAGGCCTCAAAGAGTGCTGTACTGTGCTGGACTCCACTGAATTTCACATGCATTACTGGCTGTGTGGCTCCATGTTCTGGAAGAAGCACTGATTTTCAGCACAGCCCTGCAGGCTGAGAGCAGAAAGCCCAGAATGTGGTTTCAGCAAAAGGTGATGAGAGGGGCTTATCTATGGAGCCTGGGGTGAAGAGGGAGGCTGCTCTGAGAAAGTGATCTTCCACTTGGCCATGTATAATCTTCCTGGGAGATAGCCAGGGAGGGGAAGCGGAGAGAGGCCTCAGCATGATGTTCATGTATAGACAAGCATCAGTGCAACAGTATGTGCATGTGTGCGCATGTGCAGAGATGAATCCTGCACACAGTGTCCAGCCTGCATCTCCCAGCTCCTTCTCAGTTACATAAACTTCAAACAGAAGCAGGGAGAAGCATGCACAAGCATGTAGTGTGGAAGGTGTGGCCCACTGCAGTGGAGACTGGCTGCAGTCAGGACAGAAAGAAGCAGGTGAAGTGGGGAGACTGGGTGAGGCTTTCAGGTATGCAAAAGGGAGATATGATCCTGAGCACCTAGAGGTGATGGAGAGCAGAGTTCTTCCCACGACTCTTCCCAGGGCCTGTGTGAACAGTGGGAAGTGGAGCATAAATTGTCCCATGAGGACCTCACTCAAGGTGTTTAGAATAGCTGCCAAGCTGTATGTGACTGCAAGGGCTGGGGCTCACCCCACGGCTGGTTTCATCAGTTTAGCAGGAGGCCAGGTAAACTATAGGCCAGAAGAGGGGTGAGGTCATGAAGGTGGTTGTTGGCAAGTTAGACAGAGTCATGTGGTTTAAGTGGAAGACAGCCAGTCCAAATGTTGGTCAGAGGCTGACTCTGGATCTGAGCGGAATTTTCCTGGTCCCAGAATATGAAACTTCTTTCAAGCTCCAGAACTTGATGTTCCCCAGGAGAAGGCAAATTCCCTGCCTTGTAGGACTCCCCCAAACTAACCCTGAAATCTAAACCCCAAGTCTCTTCCTCAGCAGTAGTTACATTCCTGGATTTCTCCACCATGTTTGCATTTGCCCCAGGCAGGTAGTATACACAGTTCTTTGTGTGTGTGTGTGTGTGTGTGTGTGCTGTTCCTGTTCCTGTTACCTCTGGCCGTGGAGCAGGAAGAGAGTTGTGATACGCTTCAGCCTCTCATCTTTTCCTAGGTCCCCCTGGGGCACCCACAATGGCTTTCCCCATTCATCCTGTTTGGATCTGTGCAGGACATTACCTGGACATGACAGATGTGCCTTTCCCAGCATTCTATTTTTCCCATTAACTCTGTCTAGTCATGTTACATGTGTAATTGAATGCACTTTTTTCTAAGTCTGCCTTTTCCATAATTAACTGTTCTTGTATTACCTCATGCCCCTTCCCTCCTTTTGCTTGGATTTATTTATTTATCTGTTCAAGTCTGATGGTCTACCAATTAGGTCACATCCATTTCTGCCTTTTTAGAAATTGGAGATAAACGTCTCATAGACTTTTCTGCGCAAGCTGACTTTGAATCACAATCTTTAGATTGCAGATTCCTGAATAGTGAGGATTACAGGTATGAGCCACCTGTATCTGGCCTGTATCATTTTTAAAAAATTATTTTATTGTTATTATCAAGGTGATGTACAGAGGGATTACAATTACATGAGTCATGTAATGAGTACATTTCCTTACATACAGTGCCTTCCCTTCCCTCACTCTGTATCATTTTTTTTGGAACATTCTACACATACTTATTTCAATGGCCCTTGTAGATCTTTCTATTCTCTCTACTTTGGGGGCTCTGAAACCCTTCAGATTCAATATATATGTCCAATTTAGCAAACAAAAAATCTGTTAATTTTAGGTTTTTGATCCGTCAGAAGTTGAACGATAAGGGTAGGGGCAATAAGGAAACTCTCCAGATTTACGGGCCTGGGGAGAGAGCAGTGGCAGCATCTTGGAGGGAGTTCTGGTATACTTGGCTTGGTAGTTTCTTAAGGGAGGGCATTGCCTGGGTTGTGCACATACCCTTGGGGGACAAACTGTCTGTGCTACAGGAAAACACTCCCTGCTTAATTGACAGCAGTTCTTTGCAGAGCAGACTGCCTTTGGAATGGGGACACAGTCCCTGTTTGATTGAAGACAGATCCTTGGGGCGCAGGTCGCCTGTGGGATGGCACAGCATTCCTGACTGGGTCGGAGGCAGATCCGTGTAGGGCAGGGGACCTGTGTGCAGCTGGGGTTCATGACAGCAAAGCTGGTGCCTCTGCCCTGTGGAGTGAAGAGAGAGAAGTTCACTGAGATACCACTGGAATTGAGGCAGAGGCTGCCATTGCCTGGCTGAGGGTCATCGTGTCAGGACCCATCGAGGCTGACAAATGTGGCTTTGCTGAGGCTGCATGTGAATCAAATCAAATCATAATCAAAACAGAATCACTGGAGTCAAGTGCAAATAAAAATACAAATGAAAACATATGAAGGTGAGAGTTTATGAGGGAAGTGGTCTCATACATGTGCACCTCAAAAAAACTCTCAAAAAAGCCCAATGAAATCCAACTTTGGACACTACAAAGGTTTCCAAAACAAATATAGACACTTCAGAACACTGACTCAGACTCCAAAAGATATATCCATGTTCTAGTCTCTTACATTAAAAACACTTCTGTAAGAGCTCCAATCCTTTAATTAGTTAATTTGGGAATGATTTTACCTGTATTTTATCACTGATCCTTGGATACCTTTTTATGAATCTTTGTGCCCAAGTGTCATTATTTCAAAATAAATTGTGATTCTCGTGTGTGTGCGTGTGTGTGCGTGTGTGCAATGGTCGGCAGTATTTGGTTTCCTGCTTTCTACTTCTCCACATTCATGTTGCCCCAGGACATTTTTATGAGCTATTTTCTCTGCTTAGAAAGAAGTCCTCCAATTTTCACTCCACTCCTGGGCTTGAACTCTGGGCCTTAGGTGTTCCTTAGCTTTTTTTGCTTATGACTAGTGCTCTACCATGTGAACCACAACTCCACTTCTGGCTTTTTTGGTGCCTAATAGAAGATAAGAGTTTCACAGGTTTTCCTGCCCAGGCTGGCCTTAAATCCCAATCTTCAGATCTCAACCTCTTGAGAAGTTAAGATTACACCCATGAGCCACTTATGCCCAGCATTCATTGACTTCTTTTTACCAATTTGTTTTCAGCTTAAATATCAGAGAGTCTTTTCTGGCCAACCAGATGTCTGCTGGTATATTAGTAACTTTATTTTCTAGGTATAGTTTGGCACTCCATGACAGTCCTCAATGTTCTCCAGTTTTGTTTTTCAAAAAACCCCGAAATCTTAGCTATTCAGGAGGCTGAGATCTGAGGATGGTAGTTCAAAGCCAGCCCAGATAGGAAAGTCCATTTGACTCATATCTCCATTTAATTACTAAAAAGTCAGAAGTGGAGCTGTGGCTCAAGTGGTAGAGTGCTAGCCTTGAGCCAAAAACCTCAGGGACAGTGTTTAGGCCCTGAGTTGAAGCTCCATGACCAGTACACACACACACACACACACACACACACACACACACACACACACACACACACACACACACACACACACACACACACGAGTTGATATTGATATTGTGGTTGAGGCTTTTATATTTTCAAATATTTACTTAAAGCAACAAGTAAAGTTTTGTGATTTCTTTTCATGGTAGGTGAGTCTTACTTTTGTTGGCATTCAGATTTTGTTGCTGTTATGGATAGAATGGCATGCCTTATGTTTATCTATAGCTTACCTTTCTTGACTATTTAAATTGCTTGGGAAGGTATTGGGCTTTATTGCAGGAGTGGGAGAACAGGGCTGGGGAAAGGTCTGCAGAAAGAGAGGCTTCTAGCTGGCTGCAGAGACCTGGAGTCTGGGGTCTCCAGGTAAAGAGGTGTGTATGTGGGGTGCCTGAAGGCTGCCCCTATTCACTGAATGCAGCTATTGAAACTAGCTGACAGTTGGTCGTTTCTCACATTGGCCCAAGCTTTCCACAATAAAGTGACATTACCCCAGATGAGTGACAAATATTTGATCTATAGCCTGTCCTGATAGGGCTTTGGAGTTCTGGCTCTACTTCTGGGTTTCTTGATCTCATGGAGATTTGTATGTGGCAGGGCAGGGTGGCAAGGAGTTAGAGAAAACTCTATCACCACCCAGTCCCAAAGTTAGGATCTGAGATTTTCCCAGGCAAATCCTGTTGCCTTTCTACTTCCTGCCATACCCACAAGAGGGCCTGGCTGAGCCCTGCCTGAGAACTACTTCAGGAAAAGGGATGTGCAGTGGATGGTAGTGGAAGGTGGATAGCTGACATCTGTCATGGGCAAGACAAATGACTGGGAACAAGTTACTCAGCTTCTCTGGGCTTCAGCTACCTCTGGGTAAATGAGAGGGAGGATAAGACCCACTATACAGTTGCTGGGGGAATATAGTTAGCGCTTGGGCTCTTAGCTGGCCCACAAGTGGCCTCACTAAATACCTGCTACCCGTATTGGCACCCCAGCAATGACAATCCTAAGAATGTGGTTTCTTCTCATATTCACTAAACAGTGGCACAGAGGGGACTTTCATTACCTGTTAAATTGGTGAGGGTTGTCCAGCGAATACCTTCAACCATGTCCCCTCCTGGCCCCCATGACGTGCCATGGGACAAACTGTCTGGGGTACTCCTGAGCACAGGGCATGAGCATCATTTATCAGCTCACAAAGGCTATACCCTGAGCTCCAGCCCCACAGGGTTGGAGGTCAAAGCAATGGCCTTTCTGTCCATCAAGAATATCCTTGTGTCCTGCTCACCTGGATCCTGGGTGAACAACATGGAAATGTCTGGTGGCAGGCTGAAGGAATGTAGCAGCAGGGAGCCACAGTGCCCTATAAACCAGAGAGGATATGAGGAAGCGGCCTGGCAGGGCCACAGCCTCTACAGAAGGCAAGGCCACCCAAGTCATCCATGTCTCCCCAGGGATCTGTGACCTGTGACCTCCAGAGGAGAGCCTGGTAGGCTAGTGTCCAGGACACAAAGAAATTAGGAATCTAGAATGACACAGTGTTTTGGGGAAGAGGAAAAGCTTGGGGGCCTGCTTTGGAGAATTCAAAAGGCTGAGACCCCCTGTAGCAGCAGATGGAGGCCTGAGGTGACACAAGTTCTGAGCAGGGATCCAGGATTGGGGGCCTGGACTTGGAGGGAGGGGACGCTAAGAGAAGGAGGTGAGAGGCCTCACGTCTTACTTGGACAGGTGTCTGAGACAAGGGCAGAGAGAAGAGGAAGGAGAGAGGAAGCAGAGAGGCCCTGGCCTGGTCAGGCTGTATTTTGGCTGCAGCCCTACAGCTATGGACCTTGTCAGGTGTCACCCAGAAGGGATGGGAAAAGAATCATAAACCAGGATATAGCAAAGCCATCAACACAACCACATTCATTGCAGTACTATTCACCTTAGCCAAGGAATGGAATCAGCTCAGGTGCCCCTCAGTGGATGAATGGATCAAGAAAATATGGTATAAATTACATAATGAAATTGAACTCATCCATTAGAAGGAATGGAAAGCCTTGGGAAAAACTATGTTAAGTAAGTTGGGCCTAGAGAGACAAAGGATCCATGTTTTCCCTTATCTGTGGAAGCTAGATTGAGCTTACAAACTCCTAAGTAAATATGTTGGGTGGTATGCAACTGTATATTGATTCAAGGAGATCTTAATTAGTATAATTCCTTAGAAAGCCAAAGTCAAAGCAAAATAAAACACCAGGGAGCAAGTACCTGAAAGGTGTAGAGTGGGGTCAAGGGGAAGGGAGTAGATGAAAAAGAGAGAAAGGGGGGATGCAGACAACAACTCAATATATATCCTACAAGGCAGGGAGGTGGTAGGTTAGGGAGGGGAGTGGTAGCTTAGGGAGGTATGGGTGATAATGTTAAAAAGGATGACATTGATCAAGATATACAGTATTTATAGACTGCTTGGTTAAATGGGAAGTCCATCATAAAATGACTTAAAGATAATAATAATTTCAAAAAGAAACCTTAAGAAAACAACAAGAGGGGTGGGGTTGAAAAGAGGTAGTGAGTGGTCAGAGTAGGCCAGAAGCAATGGTCTCTTCCCTCTCTGGAGTTTGGGCTTTGGCTCACTGGCTATGGCCTACAGTGAGGGAAGGGCCAAGGCTGTGCCAGCAGAAGGACTAGACTAGAAGCTCCCGGGAGGAAGTGCTGGGTCTGCCACAGACAAAGCCATGAGCCAAGGAGGAGGACAGCACCAGGAAGGCCCTTTCTTTCTTAATCCTGGCCTCCTGGGGTCAGTCCATCGCTGATTGGCCAGCTTCTCCTTCATAAGATAGACCTAGAAGAAGGGAAGGGACTTTGGGCTGAATTTCTCTTGTGTCCCTTCCAGGGTCAACTTCTGCACAGGGTCTCTCCCTTTCCATAGCTCCTTTTGTCTTATCTCCACAGGCAAACAGGACCACTGGGCTAGCCCAGTGCCTCATTGGTCATGAAGAGCCAGGGACTGGGACCTGCCATGCCACCTGATTTTTAAATTTTATTTTAATGATGCTGCCACTAATGCCTAAAGACTAGTCTTTTCTTTCCTTCCCTTTCTTTCTTTTTTTCTCTCTTTATTTTTTCCTGCCCTTTTTCTTTTAATTTTTTCCTTCTTTCCTTCCTTCCTTCCTTCCTTCCTCCCTCCTTCCCTCCCCCTCCCTCCCTCCCTCCCTCCTTCCTTTCTTTCTTCCTTCCTTCCTTCCTTCCTTCCTCCTTTCCTTCCTTGTTGGTACTGGAACTTGAACTCAAGTTTGTACTTTCCCTTTGCTTTTTCACTCAAGGCTGGTGTTCTACCACTTGAGCCATCCCACTACTTCTGGAATATTGCTGGTTAGTTGGAGATAAGAGTCTCACAGAGTTTCTTGCTTGGGTTGACTTCATACTCAGATCTCAGCCTCCCGAGTAGCTAGGATTATAGGTATGAACCATCAGCACCTGGCTAGTCATTTTTATTACTCCTAAACTTGTTTTTTTTTAAATTATTTTTGCCAGTCAATGTGTCTTGGCTCATCAACCTATAGGCTAGAGGACATCAAAGACACTGCTAGGGCTGAGGTCAGTGACTCTGTAGACCAGGGAGAGACTGGTAAGAAGTCATTCAATAGCCTTATGGAGAAACCTGGATTCTGTCCAAACAAGGCAGGTGTTAGGACAGGCTAGGTGGGTAGTAGAAGTCCCAATTCATGCTGCCCTCCCTTGAGGGCCTAGAGAGGTGTCAGCTAGACACAGATACCATGCAGTCCATATCTGGTCCCATAGAGACACATTATCAGAGCCCCCACATCAGGGCTGCATCAGAGGCCCCAGGCTGAGGCCTCTTGGGTGAGAACTGGTTTATGCCTTTCCTCCTCTGCCCAGCAGAGGTCACAGCTTGCACACCACAGGGCCCTTGTCACCTGCATTGGTCTGCTTGCGCATCCACAGCAAGAAATGACCAGGGTGGGGTAGGCATTCACAGACTGATATGGCGCTGCAGGTGGTGTAGGGCACTCATCTTCTATCTCCTAGAAGGAAAGAACACCAGTTGCCTTGTCTGAAGCACATGGGAGCATGCATGCTGTGTCCACTTGCAGCCCTGCATGCAGTTAATGCTGCAGGGTAAATGGAGTAAGGAATGAGTAGCAACTCTCTCTCATGGGTGAGGGTCTTCCTTGAGAAGAACAGCCACTTCTTCTGGCTTACAGATGATGTTCAACCTCCTGAACTGTCCCCAGTATATTTCTGCGCCCTTGGCTTTTCTGGACAGCCTGAGCTGGCAGAAGCTAGCCTGGAGACTGGCAGGTGATTTCCCCTTCCATTTGGCTTTGGCCTCATTGGCATGGTCTTCCAAGGATATTTCACAGCCAGTACTGGTCCCAGCCTGGGTAAGGAGCCAAGATCTTCTTACTCCCCAAGCCCAGACCCTCCCTCTTCCAGCCATTCACTGTCTCTTCTGGTTTACCCTGGGTGAACCATAGCTACTCACATAACTTGGTTCCTGAGCTCACCCTGGAAGACGGACATCACAGTTCAAGCCAGCTAAGATGCCTACCTCTCCTCAGACCTGTGGTCCCTACGGCTGACCTCAGCTGTGCTCTGGGCCTAACTAGAACCAAGGGATCAAGACAAATCAAAGAAACAAACTAGACAGGTACCCAGAGTTGGAGCTGGAGACTTAGACCAGAAATAGGAGACTCCTTTTTCAGGAGCCTGGCTTCATCCTAGGCATCCCCTAAGAGGCTTACTGAACCAGAAAGAGTCCACCGGTACAGTAATGATGGCTCTACATGGGGAAGTGGGTCCCATGGCATCATGCCTCTAGTCATGGGGAGCTGCTGGGAGGCTGGACAGGGGCACTGGGTAGGCAAAATTACTGCTAGTGTTTCTCCTTCCAGTCCTAGGCTGACCCTCCGACCTCTTTTCATCTGTCCCTTTTCATGGTTACTCCTCAGACTAGGATGATGTCAAAACCCATAGCAGGACTCACTTCTGTTGCTGCTGCTGGTGGTGCTGGAGGAGGAGGCTCCTTGACTCTCTGGAATGAGAAATAGACACAAGATAGGTTTGGGATGATGGGGTGCGCTGTGCCTCAGCCCTGAAGGAGGCAGCCCTGTTCTGACCATGGGGACAGAACACAGCCTGGGCCTGTCTGTATGGACACACTGCACTTGTAGAGATGGTTCCAGGAAGCTCTATCTGAGTGGAGGGAGCCTTGAGCTTGGAGATGAGCACCGCATTAAGGCCCAGTGACTCCAGGGCTGTTCTTCTGCCCACCCCACCCACAGCAGGGTCCTCTCCTGCCTCCCTTTCTGTGTGAGCTCCTGGCCCTTCCTCCCTACTCTTAGAATGTCCTCCTCAGCTTCTCTGTTATCTACTCCTCTGGGCAGAAATGGGTCCTGCCTGCTTGGTGTTGGCTATTCTATCTTTCCCACATCTGCCCTTTCTTCCTTCCTACAATTCTCAGTTCACAATTCCAACTTCAGTTCGCCAGCACCCTACTGTCTCTAATGCCCCAGTTGCCAGTCTCATTCTTTGTCCCTGCCCTATTTACCCAGGGCCCTGACTGTGTATCATGCGAATCAGCACTTTACCCTCCTGCTTCAAGCAGAGGGTGCCTGATGATGAGCTCCCTGGGGGAAAGAACTTGCCACTTCTGGGTGTGTGCCTCTCAAGTCCAAGTCCCTGTTCACAGTGAGGCTCAGCAGTGAAAGGTGAAGGAATGATAGAAGGTGCTAGAATCATGCAGAGACCTGGGTTGATGTGAATGTCATGGCTGCCCCAGAGGGCATTCAGCCTTCCTGGTTGGTGCCATTGCATGTGGGGCCACTGGCCTTTATGGGGAAATCCTGTCCTCTTCTTGCCCCTATAGTTGCTGCACCTGGATTCCTGTCCATCTGAGGGTTGCAGAGGACTAGCCCCAGTGTCTGGATTCTACTTTCTACAGTGGCCTTTTACCTGCTTAAGCTAGCCTTGGCCTTATCTGGTCATGATCTGGGGGCCCAGGCTGGGTCTATGGTGTGGCTCTGTGATGGTAGAGGTTATGGGTTGACTGGGTCAGATTTGATGGGCAACTGCCCCCAGGTGGGATCCTGGGCTTCCCTCTGTGTCTCTGGGCAGGAGGTCATGTGCCTAAACCTTGGGTGTGGGCAGGTTGTGGGGGCTCTCACCTTCTTGCAGCACAACTTCCAGCAACACCACAGCAGCAGGGGAAGTAGTAGAAGGGCCGGCAGGAAAGCAAGTAATTTCAGGTTTGAGTCATCGTTTCCCTGTGACAGAGGGTATGTGGCAGATAGTACAGTGGCAGAGGCCTGGGGAGAGGTGTGGGGACTCCAATCCGAGTGACCAGCCCTTGCTTTCCATCATTTTATCCTCCTCCAGAGGTTTCCCAGATAGAGGGATTGTTTTGGGAGGAAGGGCGATTTAAGGAGTAGGGCTGGTTCCCAGACAGCTCAGATCCCACCTCTAGCCCTTCTCTGCCCAGGAAGGCCCAGAATGGCTCAGAATGCTCAGTGATCTGAGGAACCTAGCTCCCTTGCCCAATTGGCCTCTATTAATAGTACAGTGTTTTTTGTTTTTTGTTTTGGTTGTTGTTGTTATTGTTGTTGTTCTGGTACTACAGCTTAAACTCAGGCCTAGGCCCTGCCCCTTAGCTTTTTACTCAAGGCTGATGCTCTACCACCCGAGCCACAGCTCTATTGCCAGCATTTTGCTAGTTAACTGGAAATAAGTGTTTCATGGACTGTCTTTCCCAAGCTGGCTTTGAACTATGACCCCCCCCTCCCCCCGACTCCGGCCCCCAGATCTCAGCTTTCTGAGTAGCTAGGATTACAGGTGTAAACCACCAGCTCCTGGCTTGATACAGGGTTTTGTGAAGACAACCAAAAAGATATAGTGCCTAGATTGGGGAGGGGGGAGGCTTGGGGTCCCAGAAACCTGCAGGCCCAAGAAAGAGTCAGACCAGGTGACAAGGTCAGCCTCCCTGACTTTATTCCTACTTTGGCTCTGTATCCTTGGCCTCCCCTCTCCCCCACTCACTTCACTGAGCCTGAGCTACACATGTCCCCAAGGGCAGGGGTAGCCATCCCACATTTGCATGTGGGCGTTCAGAATTTAGAGGAATGGGGACAACTCTCCTGTTCTCACTACCAGTCTGAAAGCTCAGGTGCCATGTGGCAGGCAGCCTGCCCAGCCTTCCTCAGTCAGTCTTGGGTGCAGAGATGGCCTGAAGCTGGTCCCTGGGACCAGCATCCTCCTCTCCAGGGAGCAGAGCCAGTCACACACCTGACAGCTTCAGGTATAAGGGGCCTAGGGGGCACTAAGGAGGGGAAAGAGGGGAGCCTGAGGACCATGCCAATGGCAGGCTTGAGGATGGGTCCAGAGTGAAGATTGAGACCGCTTGTCTCACGTATGGCTGGGGCATTGAGTCACTGGCACACACCCTGACTGCCGTTGGGGGAACCCTCTTATCTCTGTGCCTGACACACCTGTGTGGAGGAGCTGGTGTCCAGGACATCCTGGACTGTCCCCTGCCACACAGCCCCACTGTGCCACATGGACCCAGTAGGGATTGGGATGGGTTTTCCAGACCCCAGCTACACTTGGGCCTGGGGCCCTTCACCTTTTTCATCTTTCCCGGAAAAGTTTATCAGTACAGGTGTTCCAACAGCCAGGGGCCACACTCCCAAATGGATACTCACACATCTGATGTTGGAATAGCTGATCTGGTTCCCAAGGAAGGTAATGCCATTGTTCAGGCTGATTTGGACAATGACCGTCCTAATGTACAGAGGAGGAACATGGTGAGAAAAGCTGAAGAAAACATGAGGTAGGCCTTTGGTGAAATGGAGAATGAATTGGAAATGGCACTTGGTACTCCCAGAGAGTGAACAGCAGGTCGTGAGATCTCATCCCCAAGCAGTGGGAGGTGAGCTTCTGCAATAATGGTCAATGGCCTGACTGTGAGGAAGCTCCTAGTTTACTATGTCATGGGGGCCAATCAGGGGATCTGCATGATGGCTCCATTATAACATTTATTATAGAGTTTTAGCTCTTAAAGGCAACCTCGAGCAAAGGGACCCACCATTGGGCTCATAGAGCCTGGACATTGTGCATCCCTGGATGCTATGGTGAGGGCAGGTGGAACAATGTTCTCTTCCCTCCTCTGCAGATACATACTGCCTCACAGAGGGACATCCTGTATTCTGCACATAAACTACCTGCAAACACTGACCTCTGCTCTCCTCCCTCCCACCTCCAACATGGGCACTTACTGTCCAGCTTTATCCAATACTGGTCCAGGACAAACTATGGTCTTCTCTGTCATACTGATGGCTTTTTCATCTAATAAAAGTGACAGGATATTGTTCATGGTCACAACCATCCACCCCTGTCACTCTCTGCTAGCAGAGTGGACACTGTCAGAGAACCAGCTTCTCCCGAGTTTCTACTTAGGAACACCAATTCAGACTCGACTCTCAGCTTTGCCAGCCCAAGCAGAGTCCTGGTGTCAACAGGTTGGGAAAGCAAGAGCCCTGGGCTCAGATGCTCACCTGCCAGGGACCGACAGGGGCAGAGGACAGAATAGAACACAGAGGGAAGCCCAAATAGTAACATACAAGGTATCAGGATGGCTACCTAGTTGTGAGTGATCTTGTGGTTCTTTGGAGAGATACAAGTTCTTATGGAAAGAACCTGGACTCTACACATGTGGAAGCTGATGGAAAGGCTCTGTGGTGAGGGTATCAGGCAACCACACAGTGTGGGTTGGGTAACAGGTATGATTATAGCACATAGTGTGATGTGCACGATGTCATGAGAAGCTAAACAAAAGGGAACAATAAATCTCCAACGTCCAAAAGTGACTCAGAGCAGGCTCTCATCTCAGGGAGGCTGGCTTGGTGTTGGCTTGTCCTCACAGCAGCTTTTACCCTACTCCATCCTCCCTCCCTCCTGACAGCTGAGGCTGAGGAGCTGAGATTTGAACTGAGACCAAGGCAATGACCAGCCAGACTCTGAGGGAAGAGTGTTCTGGGCAGTAGGAGTTGTATGTGCTCAGGTCCTAAGGCAGGAACTATTCAGCTTATTGAGGAGGCGAAGAAGCAAGCCAAGAAAGAAAAACAGAAAACTTTTGAGTTATTTCAAGTGAGATTGATCCATTGTGGATGGCACATACCCCAGATACACACACTTTGGACCTAGAGTCCACAGGTACATTGTGAAGAATCATGGATAACATTAGGATTTTTGACTAGATGATCTGGGTGAATGGTGGTGCTGTTTACTGAGAAGAAAAGCCTCCCTCCCTCTCCTTCCTCTTTCCTTTCATCTCTCATTTTCTCTTCTCCTCCCTCCCTATTCTCTTCCTTCCTTCTTCTCCTCCTTCCCTTCATCTTCTCCTCCCTCCCTCTCTCTCTCTCCCTCCTTCCCTCCCTCTTTTCCTTCCTTCCTTCCTTTCCTTCCTTCTTCCTTCCTTTCTTCCTTCCTTCCTTCCCTTGGAAGGCTCAAATCATCATCATTCCTGATATTAAATTCTTTCCATTTTGCCTATCACGTAAAGAAAAGAGTCGAGAGCCAAGCTGAATCATTGCTGGTTGAGCTGCTTGCTCTCTATAGCTGGCTTCAACTTCCCAGGTCCCTGGCTTCCCTTCTACAGCCTGAAATCAATCTCTTTCTGGGAAGGTTCTCTGTGCACAAGACCAACTCAATGCCCCGAGACAGGCATCCTCAAAGACAACTATGACTCACATGACCCCAGCAGTGAAGTTGCCTCCTCCTTTTCCTGAGAGCTACTCCCCTGACCCACCAGCAGACTGGAGGTCTGCAGCCTCAGCTGTCAGGGAGGAAGGGAGGATGGAGCAGGGTAAAAGCTGCTCTGAGGACAAGCCAACATCAAGCCAGCCTCACTGAGATGAGAGCCTGCTCTGAGTTACTTTTGGATGTTGGAGATTTATTGTTCCCTTCTGTTTAGCTGAGGGGCAGCCCAGCCCAGTCTCTCCTTCCACAGATCCAAGTTCCTGCTGACCCAAAGTGCTACAAATTGTTGGCAAGGTATGGAGGGCTTGGCTGGTGGAGGAGAAGGGAAATGCATGACTTAGAGGCACAGAGGTGGACAACTTACCCAAGATGTTGTTGTTGAACTTGAATCGACAAACAATCAGGGATGGGTGTTTTGCATTCTGAAAACCATGTCCAGAAACGATCACTTCATAAGGTTCTGCAAGGACAGCTCTGAGTGAGAAAGGGCTGTGTTCCATCTGGTCTCATTGTTCACGGCAGCCAGTGATCCAGATGGAGTTCCCAAGGGACCCACATGAATCAGGCTGCTGTGAGCCAACATCTGTGAGTCCTGCAGGCCACATCCTCATATGAAGTCACTAGGTATCCATGCTAATACACTGCCTTGAGGACATCTGGACATTTCTCTACTGTCCCTGATACAATATGCCCATGAAAAGCATCAAGCTTGCAGGAAACAGCACAGCCAGGGTTGATGCTGATGTCATAGGTCTGAGAAGGGGAAAGATGAAGGGGAGAGGAGGTCCCTGCCCACAGGGGTGCTTCATAGAAGACATCCCAACTCCACTGTGGGTCCAGAGGCCAACTCACCTTGTTCACCCATCTATTCCTCAGCCACCAATGACCTCAGACCAGTGTGACACCTCCAAGCCTCCTGAGGCCAGCAATGTACAAGGGGCCAGAGAGAGAGGGCAGTTGGTGTCAGTACCACAGGTCTTCTGGCTTCAAATCCAAGCTCATTTGCCTGTAAATCTGCCCCTAGTCCAGGCCTGGCTCTTTCCTGTCCCACATGGCACTCGAGAAGCCCAGGTCAGTTGATGGATGAGTGTCTCCTGTGCACCTGGCTTTTATCATTGGTTCTCTGTCATCCTGGTTGATGCAGTGCCGGCCCAAGGAAACAGCCCATCCTGTGTCATTTGGGTTCAGGCTCCTGCCTTAGGCTTCCCACCAATGACTGTCACCCTGTGTGTGGCAGCTTTATATAAGATGGGCAATGGTTTAACAGGTCACTGGCTGAGCTGTGTGTGGAGGCACCTGTCACCTTGGTTCAGCACCAGTGAGGAAAAGGTGACAAATCACATCTTCACCTGGGGTTTGTCACAGCTACCCAGGTACTAAGGCCTATGTGTGCAGGATCATAATCCCAGAGGCAGAAGAGATCTTCTGTGGGAAGTGGTCCTCCAGCCCCCTTGACTTCTGGCACAGCAGTCTCTGATTCTTGTGCAGCCTGGGAGGGGGTGGGACAATCCAGAGCCAAAGATTAGGGTGGGCATATCAGGATCAGCTTCCAGAGGTTCTGCTGGGGACCGCAGCACATTGATATCTATGTCTCCCAGTAATCCTGATCTGCTATTTCTGTCCATTGGAGGCCACACTACAGGACCCAGATATGTGGTCCTGACCCCAGACTGGATACAATGCAGAACGGAACATATTTTTCTCTCTGCCAGTGGGGCCACCCATGGAGGATGCAAGGCCAGGACCCACCTACCCAGTCTGGTGTTATCTGAAGCATCAGGAAAAGGGAAGTTGATGGCTCTCTGACTGTTTTCCCCAGGGTACAGGTAGCAGCCATGTGAGGTCATACCTGCATGGGCACTACTACTGACAGGGAGGTGGCCATCCCTGACCATTATGGTATGTCCTTACCACACTGATGGAGGGCTGGAAAGAGGACACTTTTTTTCAATTCCAGACCATGGGGACAGGTGTGTCCATTTCCCTAATAGGGGAATGTCAGTTGTAGCTGTGTTTATGTCTGCCTTTCTCAGGAGGGGTTTCTTCCATCCCTAGTAGGATGGTGGATGTTGGACTGTGCCTCGTTTTTCTTCATTGATGAGCGTATTTGCCCAGTTTCTCGTCCCACTTGGTGGCTGTGTTAAGTTCCAGTGATTGGCATCTCCAGTCCTGTTCCGCTTGGCCCTGTGGCTGCGCTCCTGCTGCACCATGTGTTTGACTGTTTGCATGCTGCTCCATTCCATTTGCTAGGAGTTTTTAAATATATTTTCTCCCTCACATTACCACTGCATGTTTAATTGTGATAAATGAGCAGTATTTAAATCCAAGCTGTCCTCACAGAATAAACCCTCATGTATATTACCTGATACCTGGTGGATGGTCATGGAGACTCCATGCCCACATCCACAACCTCACACACTCATCCATACATGCACTACACATCCCAGATCCACACAACACCCACAATGGCACACAGAGTCCTCCTCAGACATGGTACACCATATGCACACCCACTACACTGTAGGCAAATACTCTACAACCAACTTTCATTCACATACCACCACATATTTGGCACCTAAATACTATACCCCTAACACACATACCACAAGCCACATACCCCATAGAAATACAACACACACGTTACAAACACTCCACAAACACACTACCTTACCTATGCCATAAGAATGCATGCCGTTCATGTACTATGTACACACAGCCACACTCCAACACACTCTGACACACACCACATATACCAAGAATAGCACATCAGCTGGATGCTGGTGGCTCATGCCCGTAATCCTAACTACGAAGGAGGCTGAGATCTGAGGATCATGGTTCAAAACCAGCCTGAGCAGGAAAATCTATGAGACTCTAATCTCTAATTAACCACCAGAAAATCAGAAGTGGTATTGTAGCTCAAACTGGAGAGTGCTAGCCTTGAGTGAAAAAAGCTCAGGAATAGTGCCCAGGCCCTGAGTTCAAGTCTCATGATTGACAAAAAACGACTAACATATCACATACCTCAAAATACTACATGTTAATGCATACTGTTATACACACAAATGCCATATTCCCTGTAACACACAAGACACACATCAAAACCACACAGATCATATAAGCCATATATACATTCCAAATCTTGTACTGCATGCACACCTCACCAAAGCAGCAGTACCCACCTGAACACCACACACATAATCCACATGTAGACATCCACTACACAAACACCTCTCCCACATGCAAAGACATCCTTGAACCCCACCCACACATCCCACCACACACAAACTCAGAGACACGTCATATAAAGATATCACACCCACTCACTTCTCCCACAATGCCTCACAACACTGAAACACACCCACATGCTCACCCCACCAGCACACACCACACAACATACATGTACACCATATATGACACACATGTTACAAGCAACATAAACATCATAGCTTCTATACAACAGACGCAGGCAAGTGACATTCCCCACACTACACATCACTTCCATACTTCACACGCATTTACTTAAGCCACATAACACAGACTGCCATCCATACCCCCCCTTGTAACATGCATTACACATTACACGGACAGTACATTACCTATTTTTGTCACACAAAAGTGCTCACCTCATACACACCCACATGCATACTGCATACCCATGCTGTGAGTATGTCACATGTACACACACCACACAGAGACCCCACACAATAGGTTCACAAATCACAAACACCACATACACAATAGCATGTACAATACAGCAAAATGACATCTGTTCACACACATACAAATACCCACAGGTGAGTTAAGCTATGGGTGCACATCAGTGGTGCTGGCCCTTACCTCCTGCACAAATTGTTGTCAGCTCCACTGACCGAGCTTCAACACAGCACCTAGCAGAGAGCTGAAAGAGAGAGCAGCAAGGGTCGGGGCAGACGGGATGAGCCTTAGGGTCCAGAGACATGCCCGCTGCCTCTGCTCACCTCCTCTCTGTACGCCCTACTTACGGAGTCAACGATGCTTTGCAAACCCTTGAACCCATTTTGCACCCCAAACATGTGCTCTGGTGTATCTGCAATTGCAAGCAGCTAGAAGGGAAAAGAGGTGACTTGAGCCCCTTGTCCCCAAACTAGAAGATGCAGTAGGGACCCAAACCTGGGAGATGGTGTCTTTCCCTCAGACTGTGGGATCCCATGGAATAGCAGGTGCTGAGTGCCAGGCACTGGCTTCTACCTCAGTTCAGGCCTAGAGAATGGGAGCTCTCCCACCCTGTGTGTGAATGTGTGTGTGAGGAGGGGGGAAGGGGGTCTACTTAAGACACCTTTGTCACCTTCTGTAAATCTCCAGTGACAGATGAGATTACCCCCTGGTTGGTGTGGGGATCTATCTTTGAGATTTGTCCCATAGAGTCTGCAAAGAGCATTGAGTCCCCCGATGGAAAGTACCTGGTCTCTGTTGTACTCCAGCACACCCACAGTATAAATGATCGACCCCAGTTTCCGAGCCTTGTGAGCCTAAGAGAAAGGAAATGCTAAGAAGAAATCCCCAAATATCTTGGGCTAAACTACTGCTATACGTTGAAGGCCCTCACCTCCTCTTTGGTGGCCTCAAATGCATCTGGCAACAGTGTTCCATCCGTTAGAACTATGATCACACTGGAAACATTGCCTGCAGAAGAGACAAGAGAGTGAGCCCAGTGGTCAAGGCTCCAAAAGGGGCCTGCAGAGGCTCCAGGATGAATTCAGGCTGTTAGAGCCAGGCATTGCGCAAACTTCAAAGACAGGCACTCACCAACATATGATTTCTATAACAGGGCCCCACCTAAAAGGCAGACTGTCCCACAAGCCTATCCTGGCCACAGGGCAGAGGGGAGCAGCCAGAACAACTGCAGAGGAGGCTGAGTGAAGCCGGTGGAAGCTGGACCCTGTTCAGATTATAGCCACCAGGTGGTCCTGCTTGCTATTGGGAGTCTAGCAGCTCAGGGCTGCTGGTCAGAGGGCACTAGGCAAGGGGACCCTCAGCATCAATCCTCACTAGGCCCCCAGCTACTACTCAGACAGGCATTCGGTACCCAAAGTCCAGAGGAACATGGGTTCTGGGTATGCACAGCTGTTTGAACTACCTGACCAGGGGCCCAGGAGGCAGGTGAGGTGAAGGGCAGCCAGGGGGAAGTGAGTCCTTGATCAGTTCAGCCCACTGCCATTTCCTCCTTTATGTACATGAGGCCCATCTGTAGGTCAAGGACCCACACACGTGTCTACCCAGGGCCTCCTGTCCTCAGAACCATCCTGGGGGGGGGGTGCTTTGCTCACAGCAATGAGGTCAGCACCTGGCTCCAAGAGCAGAGTAAGAAAGGGACTCAGGGACACCAGTGCCCAGCCCTTTCCAGGGAGCCATGGCTCTGGGTCTGCTCCAACTCAATTCAAGCACAGGCCACTTACCTAACGATCTGGCATTTTCTATCTGATGAATTGCCTGCAAAGATATGAATCAATATTGGGGGAGATGGTGAGATGACCCCAGTGACACTCTAAACCATGAGCCAGCTCCCATACGAAGCCCTCCTCATCTCCACCTTTTTAAATCCTTCTTGCATATATGTGTGTCCCACGGGCACCACTTGCTGAAGTTTGTTAAGACCTTGACGAATTTCTTGTCTGCAAAAGAAGAGAAGGCAAGTTGAGATGAAGAAGGTTGACTGTGACAAACAGCACCCAAGCTGCACAGTCCTGTCCACTGTGCAGATGGCCTGGGCGGGAGGGAGCACCAGGCAGGTAGCTCTATGACTCCCATCCTGCACTGGGTCTAATACACAGGGTTTGGCATCCTTCTATGTCCCTGACCCACTCCATGAACACTGTGGCAAGTCAGGAGGAGAAGGGGAACTGCTGAGCAAGTCCCTTGGGAAGATCTGGTTTTGTCTCAGTCTAGTCCTGTCTCAGGGCACTCAGGCCTCCCTTGGAAACCCTTCCCCATGCCCTGCCTGGACCCTCTCTGGTGAGAGTGATGGCATCCTAAGATGTACATCTGTGAGTCAAGGACTCTCAGTGATGCTGGCATTCCTAATCCTAACCCTCCTACAGAAGCCACCCTTGTTTGAAGCCCTTCAATGGATAGAGCTGAGTTTGGACAATGTCATCCTTCAAAAAGTCCCTGCCCAATTCCCACCCCTCCCCTACTACCACTGTCCCCTGGGGGCCTGACTCCCTTCCTGCTAAACAAAACAGCCAATCTGTTTAAACAGAGCCAATCTCCAGGCCTTTGTGTGTTTCTGCTCCAAAGTTCCTAAGCTGGGACAAATGCCGGCCATGAGGCAGGGCCATGGCCTGTCAGGTGCTGTTAAAGCCCACAGGATGGATTGGAAAAGACAGAACTGGCTCTAGTGGCAGTGCTATGACCGGAGGTGGGGAGGGCCAGTGACTAGGTTCTGGCTAATCCAAACTGACAAGCCTGAAGTAGCCCAGCATGATGCCCTAGAGTGAACCCTGAGGTGGCCTCCTGGTGGGGGCAGAGAGAGACCTCGCCATGGGCTGAGCTCAGAGGGCTGCAAACCAGCCCTGCCTGAGTCTGCCTAGTAGTGCCCAGCACCCCAGTGGGGGGGACAGACCAGAGTCTGCTCAGCTGGGCTCCTCCATCTCTGAGCAGCCCAGCTCCCTTCTCATTTCCTAGCCTTGCTCCTTTCTCTCTGCCCAAACCAGACCAGTCCAACTCTTTCTCTCGGCCCAGCCCCTTCTGTGTCTCTGGGCCTTGCCACAGTTCCTTTGGATGGACTTCCACTTTTTCCCTCATACCCATTCAATCCTCTCTCAAACCCAGGCCAAAGGACACAACCTACAGGGTTGTTTCTGGACCACAGAGACAGTCTCACTCCACTGCTTAAAGCTGGACCTGAGGCACCTTCTTTACAGGCCCCAAGTCCTCTGCTCTGTGTCCTGAGGAGGACTGGCTTCCTCTGCTTCATTCCCTGCTCCTGGCTTCTCTCTAGGGCCAGGACAGAGGCCGAGGAAATCTGGCAGACACCTCTGATCCCCAATGTCTCCATCTTTCTTGGTGTGCCTTCTTTACTCTGTAGGAATCCAAGCATTGTAGGCAAAGTCACCCCTTCCCAGCCAGTGGAAGCTGCCCAGCTCCTGGCCTGGGGACTCTGGTCACACAGTTGGGTCATCTCTGCTTCATGATTGCTGCTAGCTAAGCCTCCCCACAACATGTAGCCCAGCCAGCGACTCAACACTACCCGAATCTCCTCTGCCTGGCTGCTATTGGGAAAGCCAGCTGTCTCCATAAAGCATGCAGCATTTCTGGTTCCCAGCTATCTCCGTCCGGCTCTCCCAGGGGAGACTGACATGCTCACAGCAGGCCCAACATAGGCACATAACTGCTCCCTTTGCTCCCCTCAATCTGTGATGCTGTCACAGTCTGCTTCCCAGAGGGAATTCAGGAGTGAGGAATGACAGGATAGAGTGTGGAGAACTTCTGGAGATGCTGGCTCTGTGGGTTCCCAGGAAGCAGCTATCCAGAGTGGGTGGAGCTTGGGCTGGAGGTCAGTATAGTTACTGCAGAGTGTTACAAGGCCACTATGTGCAATGATAGGAGTCTCCCAAATGTTTTCACAAAGCCTGCAGCTTTCTGGAGCTCCTATGGCCTGGGCCACGCTGGGTTCAAAGTGACCCCTACCTGTCCGAGGTGAGTGGCATGAGTACGGTGGCATCTGTTGAATAGAGAATGAAGGACATCCGAACCCTTGAGCTGGGAAGGAAGCACAGCTGGTGAGAAGTGGATGCAATTGGTCAGTGGGACTCAGGAGCAGCCATGAGCCTCAGCCTGGCTCCCCTCCTCTTCCCTCCCTTCTGGCTCTGGCCTCCTGGTCTGTTCCTGGCTCTGACACACTACACACACAAACACACACACACACACACACACACACACCTGACATGCTCACACATGTGTACTCTCACACATGTACATACCATCCACCTACACTAACATGCATGTGCACACTCTCTTACTCAACCCATACATACACACTCACACTCATACACACAGATTCACACTCCTGCTCCATGTCAAACAGGCAAAGTGTCTTTCCTGCTTCTCCCTGAAGACTTCTAGCTTCTCCTTGCTGCCATGTTCTTGAACTCTCCAGCTGTCTTTACTCATTGACTTCCTTTCTTCTCTCTTCCTCACTCTTGCTCTTCATAGCCACTCACAGGGAAGCTCTTACCCTGCCTTCTGGCTCAAGACCTTCAGACCCATTAGGACATTGCTGTCTACTGCCTTAGCTGAACTTCCCGTTGTCTTTGCCTTTGATCTTGACTCAGTTCACCTACAGTTATCAGACTTTTCTTTTTGGAGAATAACCTGGATCTTGTCTGCTCACCCCTAGTCCCAGAACCTTCTATGGCTTCCAACAGGAAATCTAACCCCCTCGGCCTGATATAATAAATCCCTATACCCCTGATCTCTAGCTGACCTGAGCTTTCCCAGCCCTCACCTGAATCATCCTCACTCTACAGCCAGATCAGACCACCCATGCCCTAGAGGCCCTGGGCCTCTAGGCTAGCCATGGGCTGGTGCCACCAGGATCTGTGTACCCATGCCCACAAATCTAATGGGTGTGCCCTCTGCCTCCCAGGGGGACTGTTCCTCGAAGCACATTGCCTGTGTGGCAGGGAGAAGCCATACTTTTGGAATTTCTTCACCAAATTTTCCACGAATGAATAAATTTCAAACCAGTTGTTGTCTACGCTGCCCGACCTGAAGACAAAGGAGACAGGAGTCAGGGTTTGGTGATCTTAGCTACTCAGGAGGCTGAGATCTGAGGATTGTGGTTCAAAACCAGCCCAGAAAGCAAAGTCTATGAGACTTATCTCCACTTAACCACCAAAAGGCTGGAAGTGGTATAAGATTGGCCTTGAACAACAAAGCTCAGGGGCAGTTCCCAGGCCCTGAGTTCAAATCCTAGGACTGGCACTCTCTCCCCCCCACCCCAACACACATCAAAGAAATAGTTGCTGGGGACAAGGAGTAAGGATGCCAAGTTTGTGGATCCAGCAGACATTTCTCTGGGCCTTTATAATTCCATCATTTCACTCACACCATGGGAGGAAGTAATTCTTTCACCCCTATAACATTTTACTGCAAACTAACTTTGACTGACCACATATAAAAGCCTCAGACACTTGGAGACTCACTGTCAAACTGAAGTGGGGAGCTAGCTCCTACCCCCTCAAGCTGTTGGGAAGCCTGCAGCATTCACATTAATGACAAGCGCACATTAATAATATTTCACCTTAGTAATACCCTTCTATATTCTAGGGCTGGGCTTGGCTCCTACTGGGCTTTGTAGCAAGACTTTAGAGTGAGAAGGACATGTGCACCAGAGCAGAAGTGGATAGATGCTTATGGACCACAGACACATTCTGTAAGACTATCAATTCCTATGACCCATACATCCTTATCTGAATACCCATACACCCAGACTCTGCCAGGATCAAAGGGCCAAGACCTGCTCAGAGTATCTCAAAAGTCAGGTTGCAGAGAGAAGAAGAACTTAGTTTTGTTTTGGATCTGGGAGCTAATGAACTGAAGCCCATGTTCCTCCAACAGTAAGTGTTCAAATAGAAAGAGATGGTGGACAGAGCCCAGCCAAAGACAGGACTATTCATCATCAGCTGTTAGGAAACCTTGCCAACTTTGGAGTCCACTGCCCTCTGGGACACCAGACAGAAACTTCTTTGATTCTCTGCAACCCAAGATGTTTGGAAGTCTCCCTCCACGCTGTGCAAAGAAGGAAAGGGGAACTAGCAGGGGTGCTCCCAACTTCTGAGCACTGCACTCTAGCTCTGAGTGAATGAGTACTATGTCATCCCCAGCCTAACTGAGAGATGAGAAAGGAGCTCAGGCCATTTCTCCAGACCCAAGTTTACCCCATCTTCCCTTTCTTCCCAGCCAGGAGGTGCCTAATGGACAGCTCAGCTTACCAAGGACCACATGGATGCTCCTAGAGTTCAGAGACTATCCTGTGTCCCTCTACATCAATACCCCTTAGGTATTGGTTCTTAGCAAAGCAAAGGACACTTGGAGCAGTGGTCAGCAGAGGCAACCAAGTCTCCTCCCCAGGGCTCCTGCAATAAGCATCTTATCTGGCTGAGAAGGCAGCTCCTAGTGTTCAGTTGGCCGAGGGCCACCTAGGACCAGACCCAGAGCAAGGTATCAGAGAGGCAGAACCATCAAGATTCCTCTTTCAGGAAACAAGTCAAAACAGAGGCCTGGGCACATTGGCTCATCTCTCAAACCTGGTTCTGCCGGCAGGGACTGGGAAACCAATCACTGTTTCCCCAAGGTATTGGGGATATGAATACAACAGGGGGAAACTCACTTGTCTAGGATAAGATAGAGGTCAAAGACTCCCCGACATGAATGAACATTAGATTCCTGGGAAACCAACCACTGTTTCCCCAGGGTATTGGGGATACAGATACAACAAGGGGAAACTCACTTGTCTAAGATAAAGTAGAGGTCGAAGATGCCCCGACATGAATGCACATTAGATTGCAGGCTTGTGTTGGAGCTTCTGCCTAGACCCAGGCGATGGAGTATTTTCCAGCCAGGTCCTTTGTACTTGAGGCCATCTGCTCTACCACGCGGTAGAAGTTGCAGGATTAGCAACAGGAAGAGTGCAGAGCAGGGAACCTGGAGATTGTGGCTCCCCATTTTCCTGGCTGTCCCTGTGACTCTGCCAGCACTTAAGAGCGCTGTGCAGTCACAGGTAGACTGAATACTGGCCTCTAGCCTCTGGCCTTGTTATCTTTGCTTAACCCACAAGGGGTTAAGGCCCTTTGTGCCCTATGGCCAAATGTGGCCCTCCATCACACTCCTGCTCAGAGCACAGGGACTGGGGGAAGCAGTTGACTCTGGGGTATCCTGCCTCCCCCCTACTTGAGTAACCCTTCCCCCACTCCAGGGCAAAATACACTGGAGTTATGATGGACAGGAGGGTTGACATGGTGACTTTGTGACCTGCAGCCCTGCTCAATGCCCTGTGTATTAACAGTGCTAAGTGGCCATCATAGAATCTTTAGAAGTGTCATGAGGCTGCCTTGTCCCTTATCACACCCCTCAGAGTATTCTGCAGTGGTTTTTGAGGGATCAGCCCAAAGAAGCTAGGCATTTTGTTAATTGAGAGAGGGCGGTGGAGGGGGCTGAGGATCCAGGAGATGGAGGCCATTCATGGCCCCAAAGTCCTCTGTGATGAGGCATAGTGAAGTTTTCTATGTCTGGGTTACAAGCCAGCCATCCTTCTTTGGTGACATGAAACAAAGACTATTTTATTGTACTAATGGGTATGTGGCGGGGGAGGGTGTATGTGGGGGGAGGGATGCCATGTTGGGGAGAAACCTGAGCAGTGGAGTGGGACCTGTGTGAGGGGGACTGGAAGTCTCTGGAGGCTTCCTTCCTATGGGCCTGGGGTTGGGGAAGAAGGGGCCTCTGCTGGACTCTTCATGGAAACACTGCATGTGGTCTGTCTATGAGTCTCTGCATGTAGTTTCTTCACAGTCTGGTGGCCTTGGGTTGAGTGGATTTTTTCATGGTGGCTCAGAGCTCCAGGGGGGAGGATCTGCACTGGGCCAGGCAGCAGCTCTGTGGCCCTTTATGACATCACCTCTCAAGTCACATAGTGTCCCTTCTGTCTCCAGCCCATCGGGGCTCCAGAGGAAGGGATGAAGACCCTGGCTGCCATAGTGAGAGGTAGGCATGGGCTCTCCCTGGAGCCTGACTACCGCAGAACATAGGAAAGGGATGTGATGAAGATGCTAAAATGTGGAGGATCACATTCAAAGGAGATTTAGAAATGTAAGACTCTGAGGGGACATCATGGTGACAATACTTGGATCAATGTGACTTGTCTTGTTTTATGTGAATACAATTAATTTTTGTCTGGATATGGCTAACATAAAAATTATAACTGATACACGACACTGAATGTGTGGGAATTTTTTGAACTATGCTTAAATTAAGGTACTGTCTTGAATAATGGTATTTAAACATTTATTAAATCTAGTATATTTTCCCCAGCAACACAGTGGCTCCCTTTGGTCACACCCTTCATGCATTTCTTCTTATCATAGTTTTATAGCTTTCTTATTGGTTAGATGTTGAGCTGCAGCCTTAATTTGCCCTTTAGTAATTCCTTATGGGATTGGTCGTCTGTTCACATGACTTAACCTCTGTGTTCACTCCTTTGTGAAGGGGATGTTCATATGTACATGCTATTTCTTTCATGTGGTGTTCCTTTTTCTCATATTGGTCTACTAATATTATGTATTATCAATTATCCTTTAGCAATTATTGCAGCATTTCCAGTATACAGCTTATTTTTACACTGTAATTCATTAGCTATTTATGTGCCAGTCCTGAAATTTGAACTCAGGACCTACGCCTGAGCTTCTTTTGCTCAAGGCTAGTGTTCTACCACTTGAGCCACACTCCATTTCTGGTTTCTTTTTGGGAGGGGGCATAGTTTATTAGAGATGAGTGTGTCTCATGGACTTTCCTGCCTACCAGGCTGGCTTCGAACCTCGATCCTCAGATCTCAGCCTGAATAGCTGAATAGCTGGGATTACAAGCATGAGCCACTGGCACCTAGTTATATTTTATATTCTAAAAACAAAATGTGCATCCTTAATTTTGATGCACACCATTGCTGTGGTTTAGTTGAGTCACCATGTGGCCCTTTTGAAAGTTGGTGGGACTTAAGAAGGAGGATCCTAACAGAAAGGCTTCCAGTCTAACACTGTGTGTTAGGCCCTGCCAGAAAACCACACAGACATCCAGGCACAAAGAACAAAGAAAGGTTTATTGCCAGCAAAGGACCAGCAAGGCCCCTTCTCACAAATGAGAAGTGATGACCTGGAAGGGCTAAAAGGGCTGGGAGGTGGGGACTTTGGTATGGATTTGTGAGCCAGGGACTTCAACATGGCAGGCTAGGTTTTATGTCAGCTGCCCACCTAGTAGACAAGAGACTGCAGCTGCCCAGACTGAAGTCATCTCATATGGTTGTAACTGCCCCAATGGAGTGCCATCTCAAGGTAAAGTGGAGAGGAGGCCTGTTATTTGCTGCCTGTACCAAATGAGTCCTCTGGGAACGTGCCTGCTAGATCCTGGAAAAGGAGATAAGCTATGGGAATGAAACCTATTGAACTAACCCTGTCTGAGCATCTTTTCCACTTTTCTTGAATGTGGATAAAAGCCACCCTTCTAGATACTGGCATGACATACTGCTGTTTCCAGAGTTCCAAAGATATGGGGAGCCACATGATTTTTGGGTGGGAACTTGCAAATTGTGAATCAAAATAGATCTTTTCTCCTTTAAGTTAGTTCATGTTTAGTTTTCCTGTCAAAGGACATTTGGACATTTATGACATTGGCTGGCCATACAGAATTATCAATACAGGCAGATGGCCAAGGGCAACTGACAAGAAGCATATGTGTCTGTCCTGTCATGTACAAAATGATTTCGAGGGCCTTATACAGCCTGCAGGCCAGACATTCCCCCACCAAGGAGAAACTGACAGACGCACAGCTGAATTGTCATTTCCCACAGGCAGCCTATCCCGTCCTATGTGGACAGTTCTGCTCTGACACCTTTTGGATCTCAGTGGTCACAGAACTTACTTTAATCTGGCACAATGCTGCAGTCCCACAGTTGGCTGTTGGCTGGGAGCGAGGGGGTGTCTGGAAAGGTGGAAAGGCAGCTGGATCACTCCAGAAAAAACTCACAGACTTTCTGTGCCATGCAAAGACAGCTCCACTGCTGATTGGTTAAATCTGCCCAAGCAGAATCTGCAGTTGCTCTTGTCCTAGGGCTTGCAGACAGGCAGAAGCTAGAGGCACAGGATGGACTACAAAGCCTACTTTGCCATTCTTGCCTCTAATAGCCAAGAACTCAGAAGAAGGCCTGTAGTAGCTGCATTTTTCAAGATGCTAATTACTAGCCAGTTGACTTTGTAGACACAAGTTAAGCTGATTTTTGCAGTTTATTGTGATCTTTCAGGCAATTTGTCTGAGACGTCATGTCTGGCTTCAGCCTGAGCTGGATGGATGGCAGAAGCTCCAAAGTTGCCCCCTAAATCACAGAGATCAGACTTGACATTGAAAGTCTGGTTGCTTGGCTTCCAGCTGTCTCTGCCTGGCTTCACCTGACTCTCAGTTCTAGTAAAGGCAGCAGATCCTCTGCAGAGGCTCCACCTCTGGAAATAGGAGGGGCCTCCCAGAGAGCTCCTGGGTCAAGATCAGGGCCAGGAGCTTCCCATTGCTCACTGCACTGTTCTCTCCTATACAAGAGGCCTACTAGAATCCAAGTAAGATATCCCCTGCTGTTGTGTCACAACTCAGAATGTGAGTGGATAAATCCATCTCACTTCTTCCACTTTGTTTTCTCTTTTTCCTCTTCCTTCTTTTTCTGCACACAGAATTCTATTTTTGCTTTCTTTCCTCTCAAGTTGGATTTATGAACTACCATCCATCCATCCATCTACCCACCAGTCTGTCTGTCTGTCTATCCATCATCCATGCATCTTTCTATTCATGATGAACACTCCCATATTCATAGGCATTTACTGATTGGGTTACAGAGACCCCTGATGCAACCACAGTGAGAGGTTTCTGATGTTTTTCCTCACTGCCATTCCAAGATTCAGATTTAGTGTGGTAGCCTTGAGCATTTGCCTGGTCCACCTATGCCTCAGTTTCCTCATCAGTGGACAACACTACTGGAATCTGCCTTATATATTTCTTAGGAGAGGAGAGCGAGGGAGGTATTAAATGAGTTGTACTCAGAGGACTGTCTCCCACAGTAAGGTCATGTGAGTGCCATCATTATGCAGCCAGTTTAACCAGGTACATGCAAGGATGGCTGATCACACCTGCTTTTCCCAGGGCCATCTGTCCTCTGAGTCAGTTTTCCTCCTGAGATGCCCCAGCCCACCTACATGGACTAGAGAACTTGGGAAGGAAGGTTCAAGTTCAAGTTCATTCTGACTCAGCAGGGGCTTCCTCTCATGATCCTGTGTCATGTTTAGTAAACGGGTGTCTCTGTGATTTTGAAAGAATTGCCTTGTCTACTTTGGTTTGGGGAAGCTCTGATGCAAAATTGTTTTCTGAAAAATCCTGTCTGTCCCAAGTCCTCAGGGGATTCAGGTGGTGGAACAAATTGCTGGTATGTTTGAGGGCTCCTCCCATTTTTCTCTTCCTTAGGGCAATTTCCCCCCAATGAATGTCAAACCTAAGTTACCATTAAGCTATAATAGAAGAGGCTGGGGGGGTGTCTTTTTTCCTGCCATCCCTGTTATAAATGCTTACTATAGATAGCCTGGTGAGGAGCCCTGTGAGTGGCCAAGGTAGGGAGAGGGGTCCTTCCCTCATACCACCATGTCCTCCTCCATTAGAACCCTGACTAAAATGCAAAGGCAGTCATATTCATAACCAGATGTATGGACTTGCTAAGTGCCAGCAAGTTCTTTATTAAAGCACATGTATCGCTTCCTACAGACTCCCACAGTCTCTAGAGAGAGGTAAGTACCATCTAACATTCATCTCTGCCTATAAATGACAGACATTTAGGACCAACTTCAGAGGAAGTAGGCTAAGGTTTCCAGGAGCAGAGTTGTCATCTGTTAGAACCATTCCTGAATACTTCTAAGAGAGAGAGATGC